TACTATTACTATTGTTTTAAAATGGGTGAAAATATACATATAATAATTGTTGTACTTCCTCCAGTGCAGTCTATTTAATATAAATGCAGACTAATGGGTACAATACAAAAAAAAGGGTAATTCTAGCAAAATGTCAGAATACAGAACGCAAAGACAAGTACACTCTGATAGCCACTTGTTTACAACAGGTATAAAATTTAAATACCTTGAGAATTTCCTGGTGATTCTCTGAAGCGTATAATCTTCCATCTCTGACTATGTCTTCTATCAGTTCTTGGTAGTCCTCTGAAACAAAGAAAGTACATAAACAGTTCCTTAGTGTGACAAATCAAATGAAATCTGTGTAACAAACATACAGTAGCATGGTATTTCTACTTACCATCATATGTCACATATGGGACCTGGAAGCCTTTTCCGCTGTTTCCCTCATTGGACCCAAACTGTATCCAAAGCCTCTTGGAGCGGGAGGTGAAAGCAATTGGGCGTTCGTATGTCTGACAAGTCTCGTAGGTTGTCACAGAGTTGGAGAGAGCTATGAAGTAAGGACATGAGCACAAAGGACAATGTCTAAAATGAACGTATAATGATTGAGATCATCCCAGAGGTGTTCTTTGAGGGACATATCAGGGGAACGTGCAGGCCACACAACATGTTACATGTCACACATGTCTCCATTACTGAGTACTGATCACAACCTGAGCAGACTCCCAACTCAAAATAAGTAAACAACAGTACTTGTATAACAAATACTGGGTAATTTATGCTGCCCAAATCTATATTATGTCACTGTTTACCATGGTGTGTTTATGCTTTTGTTAAGTGTACATTCATGCTGCTTTGCACACACACATTATGTTCACTTAAAAAAGGATAACCCCTTTGTGGTATAGACTTCCCTCACAAACACACACACAGTTAATACTCACAGCTTTTTCTCATTACTAAGTAGTCTCCACACTCATCCTCAATAGGCAGGTAAATCTCTGGGACCACAATTAGGATCCTGCGTTTGGGCGGTGGGTTGATGATCCAAGTACATTCAATATTGGCTGGATAGTTGCCTGGGTAGTGGGGAGACTCAATTTAGCCAGTAAAATCTCCCAGGTCTCCACACTCATCCTCAATAGGCAGGTAAATCTCTGGGACCACAATTAGGATCCTGCGTTTGGGCGGTGGGTTGATGATCCAAGTACATTCAATATTGGCTGGATAGTTGCCTGGGTAGTTGGGAGACTCAATGTAGCCAGTAAAATCTCCCAGCTCTCCTCCACATTGTCGGTCTATAAAGTGACACATATGCACCAAATAATGTAAGCATTTATTCTTGGTGCAGCAGAGTGAATTATCTGGAGGTGAATCCCAGATTGCTGCTGTGTGTACATGTTGCAGAGGCATTACTTTGCACAGACATACATACTTTTGCACTGCATGATATTAGTGGAGCCATCAAAGTCAGTTGTGGTATTTCCGGGGCAGGCGACACAGTAGTTCTGACCAAACTCTCCTTGATATGTGCCCATCGGACATCGGATGCAGCGGTGTGTGCTGGTGTTGTAGTAATGTCCTGGCGAGCACTGGACTGTAGGAGCCAAGGACAGTGATACAAGGATGTCAGGTGATATAATGTTCCCAGAATTTACTACTGGGTTAAAATGGGTGTTTTAATAATTTTAGATCATTTGAAAGCTACTTGGTGGGTTCAGAAAATCCTGCCATCTTATGTTTTTGATTATGCATAAAAATACATCATTAAACTAAGACCAAGACCTTTTCCCTCAATTCCTGAAAGGTTTTTAAGTGATTCGAGCACATGTACAGATAATACAGCAGCTGCAGGGGGCAGCAGAGCTCCTGTCAACACCCCAAACAGCTCCATAACCTCAGCAACCCCATAATGTCCAGTGAAATAGAGTGTTTTTGTTTTTTAAATGAACAACTCTAAACATTTCACTTTATATAATAAGTTTGACATTTTTTTCATAAACTTTCTAAGCATTATTTAATCCCTCCACTTATGTTAAAACATGAGAAACTAAACTAAACAGGAGTTATCTGGTTTTTACCCTGCAGGCGCAATAACACAGGTGACTTTCACACCTTTGGTCTCACACTCCTGAAAGGTAACAGCACCACTGTGCTTGGTGACCAGGTTTCCTCCACAAGGGAAGCAGGAAGTGCGGCCCACCTCTGGCTGGTACCTTCCCAGTGGGCAGGGCAGACAGGGGATCAAGCCATTATGGGAGTACTGACCTGGTGAACACTGACCTGAATACAAACAAGCAATGGGCCGAGTCAGAGTGTGAACTGTTAGGTGTAGCAACATTTTTTGTACATTAGCATCTCACTTACAAATCTGTTAGAGCTGCACCACATGGATTAATTAGATGTAGTTATTTGTTTTACTATGTTCCATGTGCAATATGAGAGAAAATACTCTCCTCTTCCATTAGGAGCCTATAGCAAAGCTTATGCAAATGTCAATGGAATGCTATGTCCAAGTGCACCATCTCTCACACAGTGACTAATACAAACATGCCAGAGGGAGTCTCCTGATAGTGTTCCTTGTTTAGTCTGTCAGAGATGGGATCTGGGATTCAGCCCAAAAGGGACTGTGATAACAGCACAGGAAGAGACCTAAACATAGTGGCTCCTTCAGCTTTTATTCAGGACCGAAAGAGGCTAAATTTGCCTTTTGAATTCAAACACACGATCAACATCTAAGTCAGAGCTTCTTTGGCTTTACATAGAGCAGAACATCTGCCAGTGGGAGATGCTTATCAAGACACCTTCACTTCCTGTGTGGCTCATAGTCATATAACAGTTAGCTGCATTTTGTGTCCCTCTGTGCTTTTCCTGCTTTTTGTTTATTTGTTCAAAATTTTATAACATGTTTCCAAGTTCAGTTTTTTGTATAAGGCTACAACAAAAAAAATTGCTTCAGTTGATTGAACACAGTGTCTCACCTCCACACTGGGACATGTTTCGAGCTCCGACCACCTTGGAGACTGGTCTTCCTTCAGGTCCAGGACAGACCTCACAAGATGTTTGTCCCTCCTCATCCTGATACGTCCCAGCCGGACATAACACACACCTTCCCTGATCCCTGTCATAGTAAGTCCCAACACTGCAGCTCACTAACAGACAAACAGGGAAGGATCAAGATAGATTTTAGGTTATTACTTTAATGATGTATTTGTAGCAACACAAAACAAATGCAACCCTGACTGTACGCACAGCAAACTGTAACTTAGGCCGGCAATGTTTGTCCCAGGAACAGTCATGCTTGTGGTTGTTTGTCATGTTTCTGAAAGCTGGTAGTTTTGTCCCAGCACTGAAGTGAGATGTGTTGCTATAAACCTACAATATATAATTTTCTCATAAAGACTATTGTGATATGGAATCGAGTTGAAACAAAGTTTAATTATTAAAGGACGATGAAATTAAATGTTTTCTTTAGAAACCATAAACCAAACACTTAAGACAACCAAAACAGACTGCTGCATGTGAACTTGTAATTTATACCAATTTAGCAGACAGACCGGTGTCAGAGTGCTCAACTGCAAAAACCATAAGAAACAGGGGCATAAAATGCAGACATGAATAGACAAATGTAACAGGACGCCTTGTGTCTACACATAATCAAACTGTTCTAACCACAACAGTCTTAAACATAAGTACAACCACTCAACTGCTTCTCAAGTGTAATCAAACAACACCATGTACTGTACCTACTACAACCAGTTAGAGTTGTCAGAGCTGATCCACTGTTTTTGCTTTCTTCTGAATATTTTTAACTATTTATCTAATGTCTGCTCAGGCAACCTTTAACAACTCATAAACAGTAGCATAAGAGAACACATTATGACGCATCATAAAGCACCCATAAACAAACTTCTTTGAAAGTTTAGGGCTAGTTACAGAGACTATGACTTTTAATAAAAAACTAGTCATAAATATCAACGAGTCATGGTGATTGTTATGTTCAGTGTGTTTACTGAAGTTGCTTATTAATATTAAAATCAAACTAGACAGAATCTAGAGGACGGTCACAGAGAAGGCAAATATTTATCTAAGCTAGCACAGTGTAAGAAAGGTCAGATCAGAATTCATACTCTTCTTTAACGTCTCACTCCTCTGTACATTCACATATTGTCTGTTAACCCCTCACAAACTGGATAAAGTATGTAAACACAGAAGAGAGAGTCGGTGGAGAGACGACGGCCTTTCACATTTGTTGAACATTTACTGAGAAGCTTCTGAACAAACTGAGCAGGTTTTGAGATAACTACAGAAATGACATTATACTTGTTATTCTTGCACGCATGCAGCTCACTTTTCATTTAAAGCTCCATGTGCGTGTTAGTTTACAACCTCATCTGTGTTCACACCCGGAGCTGGTCACGTGTCCCTTACAAACCATGGATATGAACCAATCAACGCAAAAAAATGGAAATTGAGCATTAAAGCATGTAAAGTGAACGTAGCCTATTTCATCAATGTCTCCAATTTACTCCACCCTGATGCCAACAGTGGCGGCGGCACAGTAAGGCAGTGGTTAGTGTTGATGTCTCACAGCAAGAAGATTTGAGCCCTGGCCGCCCCAGGGCCTTTCTCTGTGGAGTTTGCATGTTCTCCCTGTGCCCTCGTGGGTTCTCTCCTGGTACTCTGGCTTCCTCCCACAGTCCAAAGACAACTTAGGTTGATTGGTGACTCTAAGTTGCCCGTAGGAGTGAGTGTGAGGCTGTGTGGTTGTTTGTCTACATGTCAGCCCTGTGATAGACTGGTGACCTGTCCAGGGTGGACCCCGCCTCTCACCCAGTGTCAACTGGGATTGGGTCCAGCCCCCCACGACCCTGTTTAGGAATAAACAGTATAGATAATGGATGGATGGATGGATGGATGATGCCAACAGTGGAGTCACAGCGCTCTCTGGTGGACAAACTACATGAGAGTGTCACAGGTAATAAAACAGCTCAAGTGCCTATGTTTGGCTTTCTATAAATTTAATTTCTTGTTACTTCTTATCTGTTACAAAGGTCAGTGCTAATTTATCTGCAATTAGCTTAAACGGGCCTGCTCATGTGTCTATCGGGCTCTACTCTCTTTAGCTTTAGTTTAGATACAATTCAAGATACTCACACACACACACACACACTTTAAACAAATGCACAGGGACACACATCCACAAAACCCCAGCCATTAGGCTGTTAAAACACTTTTGCAAACCAACCTAATGGAGCTATACAAAAGCACTGAGACAAGAGCGCACCAACTCTACATGTAACCTGTCCTAATCCTAACACGGCTGTACATCAGGGAGGAACTTTTAATGCCACCATAATCACTCTCACCTCTTTTACAAGCAAACACAAAAGCAAATCAAAGAAAGTATTTCCCTCTTATCTCTCCAAAGTGTACAGGCTTGATTAAAGGGACCAAGCCATCGTTTTTCTTTGGTTCCTCCTATTCAGAGCGATGCCTATAATTAATTTGGGAATTACTGCATCTGTTTGATGGTCTTAAGAACTTGACTTGAAAACTGAAGCTGATCTCACACAAGAATAAATCAATTAAATCCAAAGCTTTTAGCAAAAATGTGCCTCAGCTGTAGCCGTTAAGCTGTCTGTAAGTAGGAACCACTATCGCAAAAGCTTTAGCATAGCTCCATTATACACAGCTCAGCAAACTGTTAGATTTTCCTCTAAAGAAAATGTAATTCTCTCAAGAGCAGTTCATTTTTGAAGCCTATTGTTTATTCTGAAAGACCTTGAGGAGCCGTCAGTGCATTGTCCTCTTAACAGCTTTTATTTGACAGAGGGAAGCAGTGAGAGAAGAGAGAGAGCGAGAGTGAAAGAGAGAGAAAACCTTGAAGCCTTTCAAATGCAAAGAACAGTTCTATAGAGTCCTCGAATTGATGGCCCCAAAGAGGTGTAAAAGACCTTTCACCTCTATTCAACTCCCCAGTCTTTGCCTACTTGATGACATAGGAAAACACTACGGTATCACAGCGGTAAGGCACTGAACCCAATAAAAGGGGTCAGGTTTCTGAATCCCCCCATTCTGCTCGGTCCAATCGCTGCTTGCGCCCATCAAGCGGAGGCCCAAACAGCTGATGCTAATTGATTCCCATGGTGTGGCTGAAGTCAATTCTCTTTAGCAGTTTAGTGGCTGGGGGTCATGCAAAGTGGCCCCAGCTGGGGAGGGGGGAGACAGCACTCAAACTGCTAGCTTGAATCAACAGCACTTCCTAAACATCTCTAGTTTTAAAACAAACATGTAAACAAGTCAGTTGCAACAGTCAAACAGAGATGGAGGCGCACAGTTCCACAGCATCATAATCTTAACAGCTGCTGCTGGCACTTGTTTTACTTGATATAAATATATATTCTGATGTAGTCATATCCTGATAATGTTGAGTAAAAATTAAACACCTGAACAACAGAATATTTATATAATGAATAAACTAAACCATCCATACAATTTGTCTTGTTTTGTCTGGTCTTGAGCAATATGACACAACTGTTCCCAGTGACCCCAAAACACCAGAGGCAGAGGGAGAAGTGCTTTAAAGAGTGCACAAAGGTGAAAGCATATTTTCTCCAAACGCACAGGAGGCTGTGTTGTCGACCCTCTAAGGCAGAGAGAACAAACCCCAAATGGGCTTTTCAATGGAGTGGGCAAACTGAAAAGGACTGAACTACACTCTGAGCTAAAGCCAGAGAGGGAGGTGGGGAGGCGGGCAAAAATATAGCTCCTTTAAAGAGCTGGAGTTTAAGAAGAATGTCTTTCAGCCCTCCTTCTCCCAAATTGCTTGTCTGCACCCCTGCCACAGCCAATAGACTGCTTAATGTTGACCTGAAAGCATAGTGGGGGAGTTAAGGAATCAAGACACTTAAGATCTGTGTTACTGAAAGATAGAAACAGTGAACAGGAGCAGTTTAGGTTTAAATCATGTCAGTGCAGCTCAGCAGCTGAAAAATCACTGCTGTTAATGTAGAGGACAAAAAAACACTTGGTGATACAGGGAGATGTACGCAACGAAAACTGATGATTTTCTTTCAACAAACATTACCTCAAAAAAATTATAAGATAATTATAGCTTCAAACAAGTTTTGGTATCTAACTAAAGTTCAAAGAATGATAATACTTCCATCACTTCAGTGGTTCCAAATGGGGACAGCAGAGGTTGACTAAAGATCTGGGTCTATATCAGGTTCAAACATAATCAACATTTGTGGTAGACCTGTGGATATTGCGCGAAGTGCATAGTGTTAGAATAAATATTTAGACATCTCAACAGAAGAAAGGCACCAGTTTCCTCTCGCTGATATTAAGAAAGCAAGCAGCAGCAAATAAACTCACTGTGAGGCCCAAAACTAGTGTTAGGTATTTTTAGTCAGATAGAAATTGGATAGATACTTTATGTATTAGAAATGTTTAGTAGAGATAGGATGTCTAGTTAGACTGTTAAATGCTAGTCATGCTTATGAGTTTCTACAGGGTACATCTGGTCAAGGATAACTAACACACATTGATTTGCTTCATGTTATGACTACTGCTATGACCAGCTGCAAAGCTGGTAACAGAGACGTCTCGGTTGACGTTTCTGTGTAGTATGGGGCTAGCCCAACCGAGGGGCTATAATGTATAGGCCTGGTGGGTTCAGGGTCTTTCATCTTACATCTGCCTGTGAGCAGTTTGGAGGTGCAAGATACCTGAGCGTGTAATGTTAGTTTTACCTGTGATCCTTTGAATAAATCAGCACTGTTTTGAAGTTACTTGGACTGTCTCGTCTCTCAGAGTTAGCAATGGTAACAAGAACCAAAGACCAACAGTAGGGACGCAGAGTCCCAGCAGCCAGAGAAAACACACGCCAGCCTTTGACTCTCTAATACTGACAGTATGTGGTTGTACTTAATGTGCAACATTTAACATTTTCTCCATCACAAGCTGTATATAAAACCCAATTGAGAGGCAACAGCAACCAGGAGACCTGCCACCAGCGCTCATGTTACACTCCTAACCCAGGGAGATGCTGGAAGATCTCACAGCTTGAACGTCCAACAACAGTCTCTCTGTTCTACCATGCAAACCTGCTCTCCCCTCCAACTAGCACATTACAGCACATCTACAAGCCAAATATGGCACTCATATGGCCAACACCTGCGCCAAATCATTAAACCAGCTTGTTTCACTGGTATAGACCATTTCATTTAGTCTACTGTGTGCGAAGGGGCTAGACACAGCCACTGCTCCATCAACGTTTCCAGTAGAAGTGATGCCTGGCGGAATAGGGCAGTGAAAGTAAACTGATCGATGAAGCAAATACAAAAACTAGACTCACCACACTTCCGGCCCACCAGCACCTGTCCTGCCACGCAGTGTCCCGCCAGCTCTGCTAGCTGGCCCAGACCCTTAGATAGCTCGTAGGCAGACCCAGCAAAGTGGAAGTGGAACTGGTCCCGGTTGATGGACTTCCTAAGGGTCCTGATGGTCTTCCTGAGCTTCTTCTCTGAGCGTCGGCGCACACAGTTCATATCACAGCTCTCTGCTGAGAGAAGCACTTGATGCCACAGCTGTTTCCAGAGCAAAATTTCATCTCACAAACCTGTAGTAAATCCATGCCTGGATGACCCCATGCTTAGCTAAGCATTCCCATGAAAACACTCCAAGTCAGGGAAAGAACATTCTTGGTCACCATCCATGTATAACTTGAGAGAAATAAAACAAAAACACTTCAATCCCAAATCTAGAGCCCACCACCACCGCAGTCAAGTTAAAACAGGAGATACTTTAATAGTTTGGCTTGTCCTGTGACATAGAGATGGTGGCGAAACAAAGAGGTGGAGAACAAGAAGCAAAGGTCACAGGCAGGCAGGGAGGAAGTGCAGAGAGACCAACCTGTTACCTCCTCGAGGTTTACATCCAGCTCAAACTCAGCTGTGATCGAGGAGCCATCCTCCTCACCAGCTTTCCTGCCATGGCGGCTGCGTGATCGCTGCCCTGAGGAGGTGCAGCGCAGGCTCACATAGCTGAACTGCACATTTTCAGTGAAGAAGAACCTGCTATCTGTGGACACGGGAGACAGCAACCCCCCCATGACGACACCACAGCCAGAAGACACACACATACAACACATAAAATCGTAGAATTGTTAAAGAAATTTATAGACAGCTTCACAGAAAACTATAATTTTGTAAAGAGCATGTTTAAAACAATCCTTGTAGAGAGTTCATTTGATCATTTTTTGTCATGTGAGTGTAAAGTTGGAAGGTGAAAAAGAATAGGAAGTCAGATTTCCTTTATTCGAAAAACTTTTCATTAACTGTGAGGGATGCAAAAGACCATGCAAAACAAGAGAAGCAAAACACTCTTACATTCGGAAACCAGTTTGATTGATGGCCAGGTCAGACCCAACCGAAAGGCATGCTATGGCTAATTACATCCTCCCCTGTCACTACCAGACAAAGGGCAACGCAGAGACCTTCAAGACTCTCCACAGATTTATTTTTTACATTTACCTTTGGTTTTTGGTTTACTTATGTTTTTTAACTAGTAACACAAAGGAGCCATAATTTTAATCCTTATCAATGTGTAATCTGCCTTGTGTTTGGAGGTACTGTTAGAGCAGAGACACACCAAGCCGACGTGAAAGAACTACAGTAGCAGCGACAAAGACCGACCTCTGCTTCACCTCACGTCAGCTTTGTCTGGCCCAGTCAGTTGAAAAAGTGACACTTGAACACAGTGCACAGAGTACAGCCAACGGCTAACATAGCACGTACACTCTGCACCTGCATGACAGAAATAACTCCCCCTACCAGCAGTAGGAGGTATCTGTATTCGCCAATCAGAAAGGGAAAGAAGAATAGCTAGAATGTGGAAATATAAGCTATAAACAAAACACCTCTCGTTCAACAGCTGCTGTTTATAGCTGCTTCTAATCACGACTATGTCTGATAAGAAGTTACAAATGACACTGCCTTTCTCTGCCCTTGGTCTTTTGGTTGTGGAAGAAGAAAGGAAGTTGTGGAGGCAAAAAACAAGGAGAAACCACACTAAATGTGTGAAATCATGGACACTACAGCAACAAACTGAAGGGGTTTTCCCGAACCATTCTCTTCTCGTGCATTGATTTGCTAAGATCAACAGCCAATCAGAGTGGTCACTCTCTCTCTCACCGACAAGGTCCAACCACCGAGGCCAATTCAACATATCAAATCAGCCAAAAGCCACCAACAGGGAGTGACTAGTGCCAACGGTGCAGGACACACAGGGAGGACGAGCCCCGACAGACGCTTACCGACAGCCAGACGGTGGCTGACAGCCAACCGTCGGCTTGATGTCTCTGCCCTTGGGCTTGTTGTGTGGCAACCTCTGTACCTGAGTGCGCTGAGTTTAAGCTCTCCTTGAGTTTCTCCTGACTTCGTTTTAAATTGCACCTTGCAGCGCCTGATTTAAAAGTGGCTGTGGTCTTAATGCGTGGAACACTGGTTGTTTCTGGGCCTGCAGGACAGAGGAACAGAAGATCTTGTCATTTTGATTTACTTATACATAACAAAAAACAAGGAAAGCCCGAGTTGTTCCTGAGTTACTGTTTTGTGTGGCAGAGCATAAAGATAGATGCAAATCTGTGATGTTTTGTACTTGCCTAAGCAGTACAAGCCACTGTTGTTCTTTTGTGCGTCAGCCAAGCAAGGCAGAGGCATTCCACAGGTCACCGTGTAAGAATCCTCTGCCCCTGAAAACACACAAGAGGCTGTGACTCACAGACAAAAGTTAGGACCACAAAAGCCAAGGAAGAGAGCAAACAGGAAGCATGTAAGAACATGAAAAGTAGTGCTACCGACTGGTGTTGACAACTATTCACACACTTACATGTAAAACAGCTTAATTTACTGAGTAATTGTGTTTCCATTGGCATGGTTTAGTTGTCGCTTTACCTTAACATAGCTGCATCAGGTGATACCTGACCTGTAATGTATCATGCCACTTTATCATGCAGAAAGGCAATGACAGACTTGACTGTCAGGTCAAGTCACCAACTGGTTCAAACGCTGTTCTTATCATTCATCATGGAGTCTCATTGTTTGCTATAATTTGTCAGAGCTATTTTGAAGTCCTTTCATCCACTGCAGTGTTTCAGACTAATCAAAGAACACCAAAATGATCCTGATTTAAATATAGACCAACTTTTATCAAGTAGAAAATTAGTCCTAGCAGCTAACAGCGGGGGATTAGACAATGCTTTTTGCAGTCCTCTAGCAGTCACCTCCTCACATGTTTAACAGACAAGATGTGAATCTGTATTATGACCTCAAAGGCACTGTTTAGTTTGCCACAACAGCAACTTAGAAACTTTGGGTAGGATTGATTAAGACTGTTGAACCCTGACTTGGCAAAAATATGTTAAAGCACTTCTTCATGTAATTATATTAATGCAATTTGTCCTGCATAAAAATCTGAAACAGATTTTTAAAGACTGTTGAAACTTAGGAATAATTTCATTTGAAAATATCTAAATTTGGATTTTTCCACACTTCTATTTTACTGAAATCTCTGCTTCTTTTAAATACTGTAAGATTGACAGTGACAATGTCAAAGCTCTGACAAAGTGCAGCAACTGGGAGCAGAACAATGAGAATCCAGTGACGCTTTGTTCTGTCTGTTGAATAATAAGAGGAGGAACATATGCAGGAGTGTAACAAGACTAACAGTGACTCCTGTGTTGTGTATGTACAGTAAATCTGCAGGTCAGCTGTGGGTCATGAGAAGGAAGCACTCCAAAAGAAGATGGGTCTCAACCAACTCACCACTGCTGATGTGAACCTGGGACTGGCATGTCAGGAAGCAGTGGTCCCCTCCCTCCTGTTTGCTACAGTTCAAGGTAGGTTTAGAGGGGGGTTTTGCAGGTGGCAAACCCTCATCCTCTAGACAGAAACCAAAACAAAACTCCAAGGTAAATAAGAACATTTTTTGATTGACGTAATGAGGAACAGGCACATGCAGGTGAGGAATGAATTGTCCAACATCCTGACAGCCACTAACAGCATCGTAACATTTGAGATGTTTTTACTCAAGCACAAGAATACCGAGTAAAAGAAAGAGAAAAGAGAACAGAATTCAAAGTATCTCCTGTTTTTGTCCCCCAAGTTTTAGTCCAAAATGTGAGATGTCATACACTTATTATACAAGTTCCAAAGAGCCAGGATGACAGCATTCAACACATGTGCCTCTCATATAGGAAGGGCTTACCAATGCAGTCCTTTTTGTTCCAATGTAGCCTATAGCCAGGATGGCAAAAGCATTCAAATCCACCCATGGTGTTCTCACAACCATGCTCACAACCGCCATTGTTCACACTGCATTCATTTATATCTAAGAGGAAAAAGATCATCATTATATATAGAGGGTCTGTTTTTCCAACACATCAATGAACAGGTACTCACATCACATGTGCTTTTTAGCCTAACACATCTCTACACTGAACACCTGTGTGTTATGCTCAAGCTGTTATGTGTAGCTCCCTCCACCCAGTTCAGTCTCACCTCCACAGTGGGCCAGTCCATACATGGTGTAGCCCTTGTTGCACAGACACTGAAAACCACCAGGGGAGTTCACACATGTGTGATCACATGTCCTCTCAAAGAAACACTCATCTATATCTGTAATCAAAATCAGACAGATTGCATAATAGCAGGGCGTTAGGTTGCAATCTTCATCAGGAGGGATTTCCCACCCACAGACACACACGTGCATTTGATCCTAAATTTTCCTACTCAGTGAAATGTGATGTGCGTAGTTTGCTACAGGTAAAATACTGCTGATTTTTGATAATAGTGTGTTTCAGTGTTTCACTGTAGTTGCATCAGGTCCGATAATAATTACAGTGTTTCACTGTAGTTGCATCAGGTCAGCATTATTAAAGTTAAGCAAATCCAAAGGTAAGCAAAAGGGTAGCCCCGTTACCAAAGACCAAGGTGTTTAAAACATAATATAACACTAAAAAGAGCCAAATTCCAGAGGGAAACAAAGTATATTCTAATGGTTTGCTTTTGGATGGTATTTTTTAAATATAAACCATTATTCTGATCAGTCTTAAATCCTGGTATTTTATCTACTTTCCCATTAAATTCAAAAGGAAAGTGTGTCCAAATTTGTGACTGGTATTGTATGAAAATACATTTTAATTTACTTGGACAAAAATGAGACACTTGTTTTTTTAAACATACAGTATAAAACTCTTTATAGAGAATGTACATACAGTAGGATCAATGCCTGGCACAAGCATGTCCTTAGGTTATGATGTCCCAGTCTGTCTTCAAGAACATTTGTGCAGCTAAATTTTGCCCCAGACTCTTAATCAATGTCCAGAGTTTGAGGAAAACAGACGGTAGGAGGAATCAGGAGTCATTACCTTGACAGGAACGTTCATCCGTCAGCAACTTGAAGCCTTTTCTGCAGTTGCATTCAAAGCTACCAATGGTGTTCCTGCAGAAGTGATCGCAACCACCATTGTGAAGCTCGCACTCATCAATATCTGTGGGAAACAGGTGATATTCTGACAACACTTTAGCGAGACTTCCTATGCAAATTCATCAAGCTGAATGCCAGTACCATGAGTCTCATGCTCCTCTCAGATGGAGGTTTTTTTTTTGTTTTGTGGACTGGCAGTCTGACCTTTGCACGTCTTTCCATCGGGCTGCAGTGTGAAACCAATGGGGCAGCTGCAGCGCACACCTGTGGATGTGTCTTTACAGGTGCAGTCACACCCGCCATTGTTCACCGCACAGGTCTCTGAAATTACAGCCCACAACATGAATGTATATGAATGACCTTACTCTGTGAAAAATGCTACATTATTCCTCAATGTCAGATACTAGATCCTTAATAAAACAAAACCTTGATTACTGAATACTGTGCTCTCAAAACACGTGCACTACAGCGTCAATGTAATATTACAAAGATACAGTTTCTTCCAAAGATTTTCATTTACTACTTAAACCACTTCGAACACTTGAAGCAATGGAAATTATTTTAAAATCCTTATAAATGCTGATGGAGGGTCTAATCCATGGTTTGTATAGTGAACAATTATGTAGCACCTTACACAGTTTAGGTACATGCTGGCATTCAAACTTAGCCTAACAACATGTACTATTTGTGACACATTATAACACAGCACGAGACCCCCAGAGCTCATGTGCTAGCCATGTACCATGTACAAAACACAATGTTTTACATGCCTCAAGTGCCCCAGAATCACACAACTGAAAAATACCATACAAAAGAAAAGATTCACACTCTGCCCTTCCCAGATCGAAGGAAAACGTGGAATGTACCACACTGTCACCAATGCATATTTTTTAGGTGGGACACTGGGGGCGAGAGAGCGAGTGTGTAGTCATTTCACAGTTTGCTCAAAAGACTGAGGAATGCATCGGCTTACTAGAAATTACTGCTCTGCCCTGTTTGACACCCCAGAGTGGTTCCTGGCATCTCAGCCTACTTTCACTGCTCGCCTCTAAATGTAGGAGTCTAATTATTACCCATTAACAGTCTTCGCTTGACCCGTTTGTCCACCTCAGTAAAGGATGTGGCGTTATGGTTTGAGGACTCGGTGGTGGCTTCATCTCGTTCTGTGACACACAAAACCAGTCATTAACAAAGTAAGACTTGCCATATAAATGTATTACATTTGCTAAATAACTTTTCTGCTGACTCCAGCTGTGGGTATGTGTGTGTGTTGGCTGCCCTTCAGTAAAAATATACATGTTTACACTTGAGATATTCAGCTTGTAGTGGCTCAGTGCGGGTCCGATAACACAGCAGATCAGTAAAGTGAATCTGGAGACAACATCGCAGTGATACACCTGGACCTCACACACACTGCTGTTGGTGGAAAGAGAGATAATAGCCACTATCTGACAGCTGATTCTTATCCTTCATAACCATTGTGTGCAAAAATACACACTGCCTAACAAGAGAACTGACAGAGGGATGTTTCCAGTTACCATTTTCTCAACCGTTCATCAAGGTAGTCCCTGCATTACTGAAGACTAAGTCAGATGTAATGTAAGCTGTTCCTGGAATGTGCAAACCTTGAGCTGAAATAACAGCCAAAAACTGAATCATACCTTTGTCACCCCACTCTTTTTAAAAAGTATATACGTATGTAAATAAAAAGAGCCCTGCCAACACTGACGGATGGTTGTGGCTTTTGATGTTCTTATCAAACTGTGACTGCCAAGAAATATGAAAGACACACTGAACACTAAGTAAACAGCCAGTTGTAACATCCAGTTTTTTCCCTTTACTGTCCCCTTAGTAGCTTTAAGGTCGTTAAAATTGTCGTAAGATTGCATAATGAACACTATCAGATTGTTTATCTTCTTCCTTAAAGCTATACATTGTTGTTAACAACATCTAGCTTCAAGCTTAATAAAGAAATCTTTGGTCAAGATCCACTTAATAACTTTCTCCAGGGCTTTCAACAACATCTCACAGTCTTGTTCAGGGCTCCATCACCTGAGGAAGACTGTGAGATATGGGGAAAAAGTGGTTTGAAAACCTTAAGTTTAGAAACTATTATTTTCGATGTCAAGAACGAGCATCCTTACCTTCTCACCCAAGACTGTGGATTTTTATGCCTGCACTATTACATCAAATTGAAACACTCTAGATGCCTTGTACATCATTTTACACACATTTCCCCTAAATTCAGTCTGACATAATTTGTATCTTTGGAAACCTTTGGATCTTTTTAAAATTTGCAGTAATGTTGTGTGAGTTTGAACATGGTTTGGCTGCATAGCATGAATTTATAATGACTGAGCTACTGGCAGGTCAGTTGGAATAAAAGACAAAGTTTGGCTACAACATCAGAGGTTAAGATATGTTTTTAAAGAGGGAGTTAAAAATAAATCTGAGAATATTAAAGATGAAAGAAAATGACTGAGAATGTAAGGGATGTATATTAGTGCACAGCATGCAGCAACTTGACAGCAGCCTTATGTCTTATATAATTTAATGTTCCCTGTGAGAATTAACAAGTGAGTGCTTACCTACACACGACCTCTTGTCAGGTTGCAGGGTGTATCTGACATGACACTTGCATATTGGACCGTTCTCTGTGTCCTCACAGGTATGCTGGCAGCCTCCATTGCCATGGTTACAAGTTACTGCAGGGTCAACAAGATGCAACAATGAGATGCATTATCCATGCAATGTCTGGAGTCAACTGTGTGGGTTTTTGTATGTGTCTGAGTAAGTGAGCAATGTGAAGTTAGCTTCATGCTGTTGAGCACGTACAGATACAGCCTCTCTGGTTCCTGGCCAGCTCGAATCCTGGACGACACTCACAGGCCACACCCCCTTTGGGTGTCTCTTTGCAGATGTGAGCGCAGCCGTGGTCCTTATTCATACAGTTGAGGCCCTCTGGGACAAAAAGAGGTAAGAGAGGTACACAGTGAAGCTTTCCTACAGTCGCTGACCAGCTACACATAAAGGCACACATACTGAGGGATTAGACCGGCATCCTCAAAGACACTGATTGTTCTCACACCTTACACAATACAAAAACATCAACCACTGTGCTATTTTTAGCACTTCTAGAGCAGAAAAAAAATTCTACAAGTGGAACAAAAGTTGTTCAAAAGGTTAGTTCCTGAAAACAAGGTTCCACAAACTGATCTAGTAAGCTACAACATAGTAATACTTTGAGCTGAAAATGAGATAAGATGAAGCACTATTAGAGCTGTAATTCTTAGCCCGAACCCGACCCGACTGTCGGGCACCCGACGGGTTCGGGCTGTCAATCAAAAATGTACTTGTCGGGCTCGGGCCGGGCTCGGGCCGAATTCTGTCGGGCCTAACTTTTCAGGCCCAATTACAGCTCTAAGCACTATGGGTCACAGCTGAGTGGACAGGTCCACAGGATATAAAAGGGTTGTCAAGACCCAGGGGCTTGGAAAGACAAAACAAAGGGACTTTGGACTAATCTTTGACACACACCACATAGACGAGAGTGTTGCAGTTATTAACTTATTTTGTTCTGTGGGGCACAGAGGGCCTTTTTCCCACAGCATGTTGCTGCAGCAAATAAAAGCTCAGTGAGGGGAACCTGCTTGAACCTGTCACCCCTCATTGTGCTGTCAATCCTAGATTTGAATGTGATTATTGGAGAATTTGCTACATTATTCTCTGCCTGTTTTCACAGCTTGATATAATTAACATATACAAGCCTCCATAAATATACACACAAACAACACAAAGTCAAAAGCTCTTTTAGAAATGAACTAGGCACTGTTTTAGATGTGTGGGAGCGTCATTCTGAATTGTACTTAATAGAAGCAGGCCTCACTGCTCATTACAGAACAAGTGTGCATGATGTACACTCACCCACAGAGCGTTGGATGCATGTGTGCTGGTTGTCGCTCAGGAAGAAGCCCTCTTTGCAGCGGCACTCATAACTGCCCATGGTGTTGACACAAGTGTGTTGGCACCCACCATTGTTGAACTTGCATTCATCCACATCTACAGGACAGTGGGTCGATTGAATTGATTAGCAGTGTTTACGAAACCACGGAAACGTATTTGTTATATCCTCTAGAGTCCTCAGAAATGAGTGGTTAACTTATATAAATCAAATAAAGATGTTTCCTCTAGTGTTTACAAACACTGCAGATGTAAATCATGATTTTTCAAATCAAATTTTAGACATAAATATTTGTAAATCTTTTAAGTCACTCCAGGAATAAAACCAAAACTGTTTGCTTTAGGCTACAGTCTAAAAGTTTACTGAAGAGGGCTAAAGAAAAGAAGTCTGAACGGGTGTGAGAAACTTCACATACAGCCCACACAGACATGAACTCTTCACCACCAGAGCTGATGATTCAAGGGCTCTCTCGTCCACTTAACACTATTTACTTTGTGGTTTTACACTGCTCTTACCTATACAGTTATGTCCGTCATGTGCCAGATTGAATCCATCATAACAAGTGCAGCGATAATTGCCTGGTATATTGTTGCACTCATGTACACAGCCTCCATTGTTCTCCAAGTCACATTCATCAGTATCTAAAAAGAAAATACAAATTAATACCGAACTACTGAACAGTCTCTGAATTGTAAGAGCAAGTACTTGAGTGCAATAGGAAGATGTATGTGTATGTTTTAAAGAAATATAGGAGGAATAAATAGTACGGATATCAGATTGTATACACCTATAGTGATTCACAAATAATATAGATAAAATCATGTTGTAAATACAGATAACTACACAAATTATATATAGTGTACAGATATATAAGCTATCCAACAAAATCTAAATGTTTAAAGCTGAAATGGTTTTAGTAGGCTACCCAGGTATGAATGTGACTCGAACAACTCACTAAAGCAGAGACACGTTACCTTCGCAGTGTTTTCCATCTCCTTTAAAGCCAGCTTTACACGTGCACTTGTACGAGCCTTGGGTAGTTTGACAAATAGCATCAATGTGACAGCCATCACTTCCCTCTGCGCATGGGTCTGCTGAAATCCAAACGACCACGATTACCAAAAACCATTTAGTCTAAGAAGTCAGATAGTGTTTGATATTTACCATATAGCCTACGCACTATTGAGTGTGCCGTGTCTTGTGAGAGTATACTAAAGAAGACGAGCAAGAAAATGTTAACTGACAAGCAATGTAAACATACACGTCCCTACAGCAGATTTGATAAATCCAGTGAAAACCAACCTGACAGTGAACAAGTTACATACAAAACAAAAACTGTTTTACAAACTTATGGGTACATGGACGACATACATTCCCGTAGCAACAATTTAACAATTCCTACATGTTGAGAAATTAAACGAAAATGTAAAAATCACCCCTGGGGAAACAACAAGAGCGCGCTCCTAAAAGCGTGCGTAAAGTAGCACTCTCCACGGCAGAAAACGCAACACACTTATCCACACTCACTACAGTCCCACCTCGAATCTCTGGAAGCGCTGCGCTTTGGCGACTATTTAACAAGAGGAAAAACAAACAAAAGTCCCTTGCAGCCCAAATAGCTCCCATGGTGATATGATCCAAGTTTAGAGGTCTTCTCAAAAGGACGCGTACGCACTGAAGTCGTGACCGAGCGTCCGCCTCATTTTCATTCTAGCCTGTCAATCTGCTTCACAAGAGGCATTTGAAAAGAGAAAGGAGTGTATGTGTGTGTGTGGGGTGGGGGAGCGTGTGTTTGAAAGAGAGCGTGAATAAGAGCGTGCATGCGCATACACGTGCGTGAAAACCCCGCTTTTGAAGCAGGACTTCATCAAGTCAGTCAGAAAGCCAGTGCAAACCGGAAGTGTAGTGACTACGCAAAACGGTACAATGCCAGTGTGCTTGAAAAGGCTTTTATTTTGAAGGCTATAACCGCCTAGCGCGCCTGAGTTTTATAAAGTCTTAGCTCCGTAAACATGGACTTTGACACCCGTTTTAGTCGTTAATGAGAAACGCCCGCGATAAAAAGAGCAAATACGCACAGAGAATAAATATGGGTGATAACAGTTGGTTAGCTAACTTGGTTACCTACTAGCTAACCAGTTAACAATGAACGTGTAACGTTATCGAAACAGTTTGGTTGCCAGGCAACAAAGGTTTATTGATTATAATGAGGCGTTCAGGTCGTATCGTGTATATAAATAAATCTGGAAAATGCATCTAAAACTGTATACATACATCTTCTTTTAAAAATAAGTACTTTATTTTTATTTTCCCAGTGCAAATTCCTGTTTCTTGTTCGCAAATTCTTTTTTGTTCTCTCTGCCTTTTATTGTTTGTCTATTTGCTGTTTTACAGGACATGCGCATAGACATTGAGAGCCACTGTACCCGAGCCAAATTCTTCGTGTATTCAACACACCTGGCCAATAAACCTGCTTCTGAGATTTGAACACTAAATTGGCTACAATTCATTCAGTTTACAGTATAAAAGCTCTCGGCGAACAGCTGCAAAATACACTTAACAGCAGCTAATTTAGGGCATTTGTCTGGTGACTACAAAGTTGGCATAAGGGTGAGCAAGGGATAACCTTTAAAATAAAGTTAAAATAGTCCCAAGTAACATTTTTTGTCAGAATGCAACCATTTACAACTTCTACTAAGCTTTTGAAAAGTTTCCATTTTATGATTGTTTTAGCCACACACACACACTATGGTGGAAAATATATATTTAATTTAATCGTTAAACACACTCCTGCAGAGAAACTAAAATAAGCACTCAAAACTCCTCCTCACTACTGCGTTCAATATGCTGATCACATGGAAGTATTAACCTTGTTTAAAACCAATTCCGTGCAGCTCGTCAACCACCTGCCGGCGAAGTCTAATACCACAAGTACACGTTTTTCCTTTCATTTTTTTTAATTACAATACAGATCTACTTGATGGTACAGTATACAAAAAAGCATTAAAAAACATCTACATTGCATGTTCAAACGAAGTGCACAAATTAAAAACTGATTTACTGAAAGGCTCTACACCAGTTGTCTCAAAATTTCAGTAAAAAAAAAAAGTTTTGCAATAAATAAATATAAATTTCATGAGAATCATATTGAAAAGGTCAGGTAATTCATTAAGGCACACCTCTCATACTAAATGTACCTTGCAAAAACAATATGGCAACTCCATAAGGACAAAAAGAGCTTATTTTCCATCTTAAAAGGAGGCATCATTTCTCCTTTTAATAATAAAATGCCTGAGACAAATTTCTATATTAAGGACCTTTTCAGAGCATTGCCTGTCATTAAGTTTGTGATCATGTTTTGAAAAGAAAAACTGCTGACTACAGTATTAATTTGAGACAGTATGCACTATAGCTAAACTGTGCAACCGGGACATGATTTGAACAGGACACAAAATAGCAATTATGAATTGTGATCAGGAAAATGTTAAATTATTGCTGAAAAAATGGATGCTTTTTACAAGCCAATTTGGTTGAATAAGGATCCACCACTTTATGCTGTAACAGCAAAAGTGATAGACAGCCCTAGAGCACTTCACATTCAAAATGTCTGCATAGTTTGAACTTTTGACAACTGCTTCTGAAGATAAATCCCAGCAATGACAATCACAAACACATTTTCTCCGACAGCATTTTTCTAACTAAAATGTAGAGTAACCGTAAACATAGGTCATGTCTTTATATCCAGTTTCTGACCACTGCATGAAATTAGCAAACAATGTATATTGCAGATCACTGATGCTGCAATAAACCTTATGTAAAGCTCTGCATGCCTTTAGGGAAATATGTGAGAAAATGAGATGTGACAATGTGGTAAAAATTATCAACCGAGTTAGCATAAGAGTACATTTTCAGCACATTTCAAACATACAAAACTTAAAAAAAAAAAACAGAAGTAGTGGTTTGCCATTCCTGTGATTTAGTCTGGATGTACCAAGGGCCAAAACTGTGTATTTACAAAATCCACTTTAAAAACATTTGACTTACAGCATGCATTTTCATTTCATTGAAAGCTGTACAGAACAAATAAATACATGACTTTTGTCATTTGAAAAGGCTGATGAATGTACTGCATGCATGGTCAAAGCACATCAACCTGAGTCAATGTGCATAAACTGGTGAAAAAGTGACATAGAATGTTTCAAACTCATGTCATGCTTAAGATGTGAAAGTGTCAGATTATTTGTTTTTACTAATACACACATTAAAAGCTCATTAAATTAACACAGATCCCTGGGGTAACAACAGCCCTTTGATGTATTAGAAATCTTACAGAGTCAGCATCTGCACATAAGGAGCAAACTGATCAGACAAAAACATCGCAGCAAGTTGAAGAGCCACTCCAACACACAAAAAGCTGGTTTTAGAAATACCTGGTGTCTTTCATATGCACACTTACAATTTGACAAATTATGAAAAAAGAGGTCTATGTATGAAAAGGTGACTAATTATTTACAAATCACTGAGCACTTAATACAAAATAATCCAAATCAATTTAGAACAAATGGAGCCTGAACAAAATTTAACCTCATCCTATAAATAACACTAATGTCAAGATTTTTTTCCCTTTTTGTTTTTTATATAAAAAAAAGAAAATCAACTCTATACAAAAGTTTAAAAAACCAATATAAAAACGGAATATTAGGTAGAGAAGAAACATCTAACCGATTTACAGAAGGTGGTGATGGGAACAGGGGGTCTGCCACTGGAGACAAATCCAGGTGGATACCATGGATAACCCTACAGGGGGATTCAACAAAAGCAATCACCAGGTTTCTTTCACATCTTCTGAGAGCTGTGGAGGAAGTGTGTCTGGAAGGTGTGTGGCCACCTGTGTGGATGCCAGGGTCTTCTGCTTTTTGGAACTGCAGCAGGGCTTGAAAAGTCGAGGATCAATAATCACCTCTCCAAAACGCCCCCTGTAGATAATCCCACAGCACACTTTTTGCCTAAAAGGGGGGAAAAAATGAAAGATAGTACTTTGAGTTACTCATCACCTTAAAAAAAAACAAAACAGTTTAATAAATCTGTTCTGTCAGGTTGTCAAACACAAAGCTGTTCACTGAGTGCAGTAGCCTGCCTTTTCCAGTAGGAACGGTCCAAGAAAGAGAAGATAGAAGGATTCGAGCGCCTTTGTTTGGACTCGATGTCTGAGCCATCATCTGACTGGTTGCTGTAACTGGGAGACTGGGCAGGAGACACACTGGAGGTCGTGCTATGGGCATCCGAGTCTGCTTGGGGAAGAAAAACATTTAACATCATCATCACATTGATATGGCAAACTGCTGACTATCATGGACTAAATCGTTATTACTTTTGATTAAAGGGAAAATCACTCAAAATACCAATTTAGGGGATGTTTTGTTTTTTGAGAGTTTGGCCTGTTGGTCACTGGCACTAGGACATTTTTTGTGAGAAATGAATCTGCGTGTGTTGTACAATCATCAGTCCAAACCCCAAATGTACTTAGTCTCACTGAAGAATGAAACTCAAAGGTTCATAGAGTACATGGAATAAGTACATTTGACACCTTTCTTTATATAATTTTCAAACAATTACTTAACAAAATTGTTGCTAATTATCTATTTGAAGAGTGACTATATGTTTCAGCTCTGATGCCAAGTCCCACCATATGCTGCAGTTACACAGCGTGTGCCCTAACTCAAAGAGCCACAAGATGCTGCTAAGTAGTCATTTTTAATCAGGCTGTCTGTTTAGGCTGGAAAGAAAACACAAGACTGACTGAAATTGCATGCAGCTGTAATTCTATACACTTACTTGGTGTCTGATTAGTTTCAAATACAAGACAAATCTCTCAACACACACAAAGTGGCTGGTCAATATATTTAAAACTTACTTTGTCTCTTTAACTTGTGGAGCTTCTTTAGCTTGCTTTTCTTCTTCCCATCACTGTTCTTGATCTTCTTGGGTTTTGTCACCTTGAATCCTGGCCCCGCTCTGGCATCCACGACCTGGGTTGCATCAAGCAAAACATCAAGTCAATTTACAGCCATAACATTACCATTAGACAAGTGTGAATCCTACTAGTTAAGTGTAAATCATTTACATGATTCCAGTTCTTCTTGGAGCCATGAGGCAGCTTCTTCCATCTCTTCACCAGTAACACACAGGCGTTGCAAATGTCTCCAACACGGTCTTCTGATAGCCTTGACAAATTAATGAACATACAATCAAATATCATGCACATAGTCATTGTTAAAAATTTGCACCTTAGTGCAGTGAAACATGCAAAAAAAAAAAATACAACCATACACAGTATTAGTGAAATGAAAGCTTTTACCCAAAGCAGAGTCTAAACGTCTCTTCATATCGACTGCTGTCTGTGAAGCGTGAACTAGAGGACTTGGTCTTGCAGATGCAACAGCCATCGTTACTCCGGTAAATCTTTGACTTGTGAAAGCCAAACATAATCTGTTTGTTGGTCAGTGTTATGGCAAAAACCTGAAAAAGCAAAACAAAGACCGGTAAGTGCCGGTCTCGGTAATAAAGACCCGAGGATGTCTGCAGACAGTTGTGCTTTCCACTATTGAGAAGGGGGCGGTCCCTACACACACACACACACACACACACGCACACAGATATAACCAAACCATTCTTAAACAACAATTGTAAACCTATCCTGTATGAAATGCACTTTTTAGGTAGCAGTGCTTTGTATCTACAGTTCACAAACAACCGAAAAAGCGTAACTAATTTTAACTAAAACATTAGAGTATCTTATGGAATTTAAAAGCAAGCAGAGGAGACACTAAAATAACCGATAAGAATGGAATTATACTAACGTTATAACCCAATGTTATTGGTTATGTTGTCAAGAAACATAACAGCGACGAGCTAATCAAGTTAGATTTGATGTAGTAACGACTGGTGCCAGATGCCAAACTTTCAGACACTCCTATGGTAAAACAGTTAAAACACGCGAGGTCCATCACAAACGTTACACCCACAACATAGAGTTCTACTATCGTCAACTGGCTGCAATAATACTTTTCCGAATAATAGATAAGTAAACAGGAAACTTTGCGGTCGTGTGAGCACAAAGACATCAAAAATAGTTGATGTTAGACATTGTTTAGCCGTGGATTCATCCGCGGTGAAAACTCGAAACAAAAAGCGGGCAGCAGCGCTTTCTCAAGTGTAGAGACAAAAAGCTATGGGGCTTCGTTGATTTGTGTAACACGCGGGTTTAAACAACACATAATTAACACGGTACAATGCATTTACGTTGTCAATATTTTAATCAAGTACAAAAAGATGCGATTAATCCATCCTTCCCTTTAAATTCTAACTTTACCCCGCTAGAGCGCCAAATATGGCTCATTGTTATTAGCTGTTAGCATGCTAACTAGCCGACTCTGCTACCATCACCACGCCACGCTCTCGTTCACTTCCACGTTATCCCATTGTCGAGTCTTTGTACAAACAAATGGAAACGCACACGTCATGTTACAGTTACACCGCATTACGATCAGTCGCTTACTACAGATAACAGGTCAATAAAATTTCACGAATGTAATTTCTGTGCAAGAGAAATAAAAGTGCACTTACTGAACAAAAACTTTGTATCTTCGCCGTATTCTTTTCACGCACTACGCATGCTCTTACTACTACTGCATACAGCTGCCCATTAGAATATCATTAGCATAAAAAGCTATAATGAAAGGGCAGCACGCACGAATACCATATAAGGGGTGCAACCGTTGAGTTTCAACCTGGATTCAACCAATCGCTGCTATCCTCGCGTACTCTTTAGAAGGTATGAATGATGGGAGATGTAGTGAACAAGCTGAAGAACCCCGTGCCGTCAGTATTTAACGACCTATTTTTAAACTCAGAATCCCATAAACCACCTGTCTTAAGGCTTTAAAGAAAAACAGCTTTTTTGACATGGCGCGAACTAGTTTGTTTACATTTTCTATGCTGCCAAAGCACATTATCAGAGGATATAAATGTATTGTTGAACAGTTTGTCAATACAATAACATAAATTACAGTTAAATGACTGTTATACAACTATGATTTTAAGCAAAACTATCGGTTTTTCAATATTTTGGAAAATGTTTTGCTTTTTGTTAAAGTAGAGCAGCAAACCTTGGCCAGCAACAACTTTATATTAAATTTAAGACTGCAACTAACAATAGTTTTTATTATTGATTAAATTGTATCAGATTACTTAATGAGCTGGTGTGGCATATAAAATGTAAGAAAATATGTTTAAATAGCACAATCACAATTTCCTAAAGCCAATATTTGCGTATGTTAATTACTGGTTTTGTCTGACCAAGAGTCCAAAGGCCAAACATATACAGTTTGTCACAGAAGACGAATAAAACCAGTAAAATATTCATATTTAAGATGAAACCAGAAAACTTTTATAGAGTGAACATTTTCTCATCTAAAAACACATTCCAGAGATAATGTAAACCTATTAATGAACTAATGCAATTAAATCCACTTTAATGCATTACAGATGCTTTATTAAGATATTTTTACACTGTACAGTTGCTCACTTAGCAAACACTACATTACACAGTTATGTCAATAAATGTACAACGGTTTCAGAAAACAAAAATATATATCTCCCAAGATGCTCACATGTGGGTCGTACACAGAAGAGTACAACACATTCATCCCAGACGTTGTTGGCACATAATAGAAGTCCTTCACATATCAAATCTCTTGGTCTGCACAGTAAAGTAAAATTTATGTAATGAAGGAAGGCCCGCTAATACCCCAAGACACCCCGTTATAGAGTCTTTAGGTGGCAGAATTTTCTCTTGTGGATATTGCATAGCAAGAAACCAGAATTGGGAAGGGGGAAAGAGCAGTCCTTTTTACTCCTCACATGGGAAGCAGGAGATCATCCTTAATCACGAGGAGTCTTTGTTCAGAGAAGAGGGGAGATGTAGTGTAGCTAAAGTGATGAGCAAAGGGCTGGTTGAAGGTATTTACATAAAGGCTGTCATTGTGATCCACTCTGCACAGAAAGCTAGGTCAAGCATCTCTTGGAGGAATTGTGTCTAGAACACAAACCAAAGACTTGGGGTATTTTCCTTTATCCAACTGAAGTACCGTCCATCACTGGATACAGGCTTAAGCCACACAGTCTTATCATGCAAGAAGGTTCGTTTTCTCTGCTGAAGGGATTCTATGTGATTTGCATACATGTACATTTCTCAGGGAAAGGCTCAAATGTAACAGCCTTTTCATACCTATGTAGGTGAATCATCTTCCACGCCACAAACCTCCTTGTCATACATATACTTATAAAGCATACATCTACATTATTTGCTTTAAGCTCTGTGTTATGACATTGCAATCTGAGTTGACAACAGAGCAAGCAATTTGACTGATCTAACAAAATAATACTGTTTTTCTCTGAAAATATATTAACAGTTTTGATCCGTGCTTTACTTTAAATATAGCCATTGTCAGCAGTTCACGATAACAAGGAAAATATTTAGCTTTCAATAAAACATTATAGCACAAGTAGGTCATTGTCAATAATGTGAAAATCATGGTTCATAATAGAAAACATATTGAAACATCTAATGGCAACATCATTTAGGATAAAAAATAACATATCTTGAAAGGCTCATTGCACTTAATATATGGCAAACGTAACAGTAGCTTTAATATAAGCCAGAAAATGTCCTTTGTTCAAATCTGTGCTGCATATAAAATGTTCACTTCTTCTGTTTAGTGGTCCCCAGTGATCTTCCGGGTCAGGTATAACTGGAGGGAAGTCGGTTTGGTTTAGATACCAACACCTTTGACAAGCGAAGCCTCAAGGGTGATGTTGAACTCCTGAAGGGTCTGTAGTACTCGGATTAGAGAGTTTACCAAAGAGCGGTCCTTAATCAGGGCCGTGTCCTCATACATCTGAGTGGTGATTGGACAGTCTGCAAGCAGAGCGATCCAGTGATGCAGCAAATGGTCCCTAAAAGAAGGAGATAGCAGACATGTGAAGTCAAAGGGCAGCTTAAATCTAAAAAATATAATTGCTGCCTGCTGCGTTTTTCTTATAAGTAATTTAAAAATACATGCATACAGGTAGGAAAAAAAACTTATCTGTACACCAAGACACAAATGACTACATCACTATGCAGTCAATGGGGAGGTACATACACAAACTAAAGAAACCATTAAATATCTGATACTGAATTCTCCAGAGAGATTATTTTCTCTTGACTCCTTGAAGGTCACGATGAAGGGTCTGATACAGAGCAGTGTGTTCTCAGGGACTCTGGGTCTTATCCAAAGACATTAAAGCAGGGAGGACTGATTTGCAACATTGTCAAATGTCACAACAAGATCACTACAAGTTTAATTGCACCTGCTCTTGAACACCGAATTAACTTTTTGTCATCCACAACACTACATCTAAATATATCTTATTGGGTTAGTGATTGTTGCCTGCCTACCTTGCGCCGAGACAGACAAGCATCTGGAACTTTCCATCCTTGCCAATGTTTCTGGATGTGTTGTTGATGGCACGCATGAAGCGGCAGAAGTGGCGCACTCTGGTTTGCCAGTTTTCATCTGGAGTCACCTCCCGCTGCTCAGCACTTTCAAAGTACACTTGTGCCTTTTCTGTTGAAGCAAAAAGTAATTAAATAACAAATCGGTTAACAACTGATTCTGCGGTAATAACAATACCAGTATGAAAGAATATTTAACCCAATATGGTTGTAAGATGTTTGTATTGTTTGACACAATAATACTCTACTCAAGGTCCAATTTATTTGTTGCCTTGAGAGCGATGGCCTTCCTCAGCTGTTAAAACTAAACTAAATATTTTTGTTTCCCTCTTCGAGAAGAAAGCACTTTTCAAGGTTAAAAAAACTGCCTTTACCCAAGAAGTCCCAGATGAAGACATTCTTGAAGAGCCGAGGTGATTTGAAACCGTGCTGGAAAACCTGCTCCAGAGCCCAGACAAGGCCGTATTCCCCACAGAGGAGAAGGGTCAGACTGCCTCTCTGCAGGAGCAAAGACAACAAGAAAAAGCATGTAGTTAGAACTGATTAAAGTAAAGTAAAAGCCGATGTTTGCTTACAAATGAGATTTTAATAGAACACGTTTTAATTAAAAGTCACAGCAGCTTCTTGGGTCCAACTATCCCATTAAAATAACAACCCAACCTCTGCAAATATCTGAAGGTGTTTGCGATTGTGCAGCATTGTGACTGCACTCTACTCAGTTATCTCACAAGTCATATTTCATTTGAAGAGAAAACAGCAACTTTTAAGTAATAAATGATCATGACAGGAGGGAACTGCATTTAGATTTGTGATACAAGTATAGATATACACTATATTTAGACAGAGGTAGACACAACCACGCAGAACAACAGAATACAAAGTGCACTTAATTTCTAGAGACAAGCTTTATTGTCAGCAGCTGTCATCATTGTTCAGTCAGTCCTGTGAAAAGGTGAGCAAGAGCAAGAGTGATGTGTATTTCCCTGTAAAAATCCTCTGTATTCCAACTATAACAATGAAGATCAGTTACAGTGCACTTTAAAAATATTCAATCAGCATCTCCTTTGAATTACAATAATCACTCCACTTGCCACAATAAATAATAATTAGTGCTGGTGCTTTATATCAGTGACTCCAGAACAGGAAGAAGAACAGGCATCATTCAAGGCCACAAAAATGATCAAGAATAATGTCAATTTCTGACAAGCAACAAGCTTTTTCTCCTGCAATTCGTCTTAACAGAGTGAATTGTACCACACAGACCACAGTTACTGAGGGACTTGGGGACCACCAGAGCAGAAAGCTGTTTTTCTTCATTTGTGATGAATAATAGAACTGCATGTTGGGGCCTGTCTAGACTGCCGTCTCTCACCTCCTTCTCTGGCTTGTGGAAGTGCTTCACAATCCCATTGATGGCCTCTCCCACTCCCTCCTGGATCTGACCTGTGTTTAACTCTGGGTGAGAAGAAACAGGCAAACAAAAGTGCTGTAAGACAAAACAAGCTGATACACAGATAAAAAAAAAAAATCTCATCCAGGTTTTATCTGTTTGTTGTATTTCTGTCATTTATGCAGCTGGATTTTTTTTCTTTTTACCAATGAAAATATTAAAAACAAAACTTCAAGCATTAGTGAGCACAAAAAAGTGGGAGCACTGCTATCAAATGCTTCTAAGATAACAACTGCATCTCAAACTTTCCTTTCAGCTATAAATTAATATCTGTACACTATTCTTTATGACTTGGCACAGATGTCCTGTGGTATGATTAACTTACTTGGTTTACTGTTTGGCGAGATGGTCACAAACCTCCTCATCATCCCGGGGGACTGCTGCATCGGGGGTGTGCGGCACATCCTTTCGTCGTTCTCCATGCTGGGGGTCATCAGCTCTCCCACCAGGATCCTCTCCAGACTCCCGTCATCTACGCCCTTCCCCAACCAACGGCCACAAGGAAACCTGGGCAATCCACACATTAATTTCATCCACCGAAACCCACCTGGTCAAAATAATCTTAGGTACATTTTCCTCATAAGGTATACTTACTTGTAAGTGTGCCCTGTGATCTCGTTGCGGACCATAACACACTCCACCAACCACTTTGCGTAGAGCCCTGTGTTATCATGGCCCATCTGCACTGTGGTGAGTTTGCCCAGGTTCTGGCACTGAAAGAGGAGGAATCATGTTGATATCAAACACTCAAACCAAAAGCTAAATTCAGAACACGAGGCATTAGTTCATATTTGTTAAAGGATATTTCAGGTTTAGTACAGCTTGGTCTTATTTTTATAGCTTCAGTTATTACCTGCAGAAATCCAACAGGACAAGGAACATTAGCAGTCAGCTGATGAGACAGGC